GGAAGGGGGGTAATGGCAGGGAAGAAAGGAAAGCCACTGACTCATCCTGAGAGTAATGCCAGGGAAAGGGGTTCTCCCTGAAAGCTGTGACAAGAACACAGGCAAAGCTTAAATGTCACGAAAATCTACAACATTCGGGCAAGCATTGGACTTAATCGCTTACGGTAAACTATGGAAAATGATTCCTTAGCTCATCCCTTCTTAGAAAAAACAGAGCAACATTAAGGCAGTGGGGCACAATCATCACAAGAGAGGTTTACACAAAATCCCGTTTCTCAGAGCCCCACTGCCCCTCTTGCAATTTACGTTACCAGGGCTGAGCCAGAGCACAGAAGCCAAGAGCGGTGCGGAGGTGAATAAACGGTAAACACGCGTGCTGGGTTTCTTCCCCTCACCCAGGGCTTTCCGAGGGTGTTCACGATGGGAGTCGCGGCACACAGTCAGTGCATTGCCCGTGGGCCGACTGTGCGCCGCCCTCCCAGGAAAGCGCCCCTCCCCGGCACGCTCACCTCTATTTCCCAACCCTGAGACCCATGAAAGATTCATGAGGACGATGCCAGTGGAGAGGTGTGACGTGTGAAATCCCCAGGAGAAGATGAAATTATTTTCATTCATTGCTCAATCACGGTGTGTTTTCTATAATCCAGGGTGGCAAGCTGCATACATGATCAAAGCTCTATCTTTACAGATGATGGCACCTCACACTGTACTTTTCATCTCTACAGAGACGCGAGTAATAGCTCACCCGGGCCGAATGCTGATGAGAGGCAGAGGCGGTCAGGCTCTGAAGAGCTCCCACTCCATTATCCCCGGGCTCAGACCGCAGGCTCCCACATTTCATTCCGAGAGGAGTTTGTTAGACTCTCACTCAGAACATTTGTACCTTTATTTTACACACAATTCTAAGAAATCTGGTACAGTACAGGATTAATCTAAATCTAAACTTCAGGCTCTTCCATATCGGAGCTCCCATGCATTAGCTGATAAGGGATTGAATTTTTCAAAGCCTCTCTTTTCTCACTTGTAAAATGGGCCTATTTTATAGGATAGGCATGAAGATGTAATCACATTCACGTAAAGTATAAACACAAAGCAAGTGCCCCAGAGTTTAAATACAGATTGTTTTTTTAATAGAACCTGGTACTGCATTGTAAAACCAACTCCCTTCTCTGAGTCTCAGTCAAAGAATGAACAATTCTTTCCAGTAAAAAAAGGAAAGTGGGCTATTCTGGAATTGCTAGAGAGAGGGATTATACACTCATCTCCATAGTGGTAGCTTCCTAGGGGGCTTAAAGGGTGACTTTAATTTATCTCATTGTCTTTTGTTGCTACATTAATATCTTCCTAAGAATTCAAAATGCAAAGTGCTCGGAACCTCCCTCGCACAGGGATAAACAGCCCTTCCCAACCTCAGTGCACCACATTCTAGCAACGTGCAATAATCGATGTTCCTAATGATGAACTGGGTCACCAAGAAAGGATTGTATGTATGTTCTCAAGTGCTCTGACAAAGAAGACTAAGTAAACACAAATGTTTGGAAAGATCACATATTCAAAACTAGAATTTTTAACAAAATTTTTTCTGGAAACATAGGCATGGCCACTCAGCCAGTCAAGGAAACTCATTTATTCAAAAGAGAGCTAATCACAATGCTCCAATACAAGACCACAGTCTTCCGGTTCACATATAATACTTTCAGCACTTGGACTCAAGAATACCAAAGCGAGCATTCAAGTGAAAAGAGTGAGCCACCTTTCATGACCTTTGCTTATTGTACCAAGTCGTTTATCTTTCCTTATTGATTTGTAGAAGCTCTTTACAAAGCTACATAAGGATATTAAGGACATTAGCCTTTGTTTCTGAATTGTAAATAAATTTCTACAGTTTACCCTTTGTTTTATGGTTACAATTTGGGGGGGCTGTATTTGCTTGCTTGTTTGTTTGTTTGTCAAATTGAGGTCTTAAATTTTAGTATAATCAAATGTGACATTTTTCTTTTATGACCCCCTTGAGCTGTTACCATAGGAAGAAAGCCTTTTCCCAATCCCAGATCATTAAAATACCCCTCCATACTTTCTCCGACCCCCTCTGTGGCTTTCGTTTCACATTTAAGTCATTAACCCAATTGTAGCTTATGTTTGTACATTACACAAGGCAAGCAAATTTCCAATAAAACACCATTTTTAAAAATATAACTCCTGGCCTCTTGATTCATGTCAATAAAAGTATGGATTTTTATACTACTCCTAGGTAAAATAAATGTAAGAGATATTCCATGTTACTCTAAATGATCAAACATTCACACCTGTTGAAATGAGTAAACATTGTGGTGGTATGAGAAGGAAAGGAAACTAACAAAACTTACCTAACGTGGGCTAAGCCCTCTTCCGGACGCGCTATGTGTGCATTCTGCCCAATCCTCATGAAGATGAGGCGCAGGGAGGGCAATGACATACCCCGCAGTCACACAGCTGACGTGGAGCAATGCTTCAGCCCGCTTTGTTCTAACTTCTAAGTGCATAGGATTTCTGCAGAGAGACACTGAAGTCCTACCACATGTCTAAGGGATGCATGATTATAATATTTAGGGGTTAATGTTATTTTTCCCCAAATGCTAAGTAGCCCATTTAATGCTTTGAACAACAGTTATTATCATTATGTTGTATCTGAGGATAGAAACTGAGGGAAAGTGGTAATATAAATGGACCTTAAGTACTGGGTAGATGAGGGCTAGAAAATGCACTGTATTATCTTTTTTTTTCTAATTTTGCTTTCTGAATTTCTAGACTAGAACTTAGTAAAGATTGACATGATAATCCACTCAAGTTCTAGGCAGATGGAGAATTTTGTACTTCTCAGTATAGCTCCCAACCTGCTACACTCATCTAGAATGATTAGGGACCTAGATATAAACAGAATTGTGAAATAAAATCAGGGAATAAGTCAATCCTGCTCATTGCTTTCAAGTGGAGCCCAACAGAAAATTTTATGTTAATGTTATGCACACTAATTTTCCTGTTATTACCATATCAATACATAAAGCTTATAGCAATATATCGCATTAAAAACATCACCACATGTATCATCACAACTGGTTCCCACAGTCACCACATGAGGAAAGCAGCACAGGCGTTATTTCCCATTATTTACTACAAGGTGACAGGGCTGCACTACTTACCTAGCTCTGAAGGCAGGGAAATGAATGAAGGAATGAATGAATGAATTAGCAGGGGCTACAGCTCAGCTCTTGGCATTCCTAATTCAGTTTTTCCCACCATGCTGTTTTCCTTTAAAAAAGAAAAGAAAAACCTGCCTTTAATTTTAAAATGCAATGAAAGCCTAATAAAATAGTTTTAAAATGATTTAGTTTATGAACAGCTGCTCTTAGACCTACCCTGTTGTAAAAAGAGATGTTGTAATCTCTTCCCCTAGTGCTATTTAAGTTAATAGGACAAGTATCTGTCCTTGAGGATTGAAAAAAATAACAGGTAGACCAGAAAGTCTGCTGGATTCTATTCTAAAACAGTAATTAATATTTCTAAAAGATTTACAACCACTTTCTTGTCTTCTTGGAAAGGTTCGATTTCTCAAATGTGGAGCATGACTACTCTGTGCAGGGCATTCTGAAGGGTACTAAGGAAATACAATGGAAAGAAAGATGCTTATAAAAACCAATACTTATTATGGCTATCTCTAAGAATGTGAGATTTTTCATATCTCTATTTCCAAATTTTATGTAATTAGCATGCATTTGTTTGGGAATGATAAATAAATAATAGAATGCATGGAAAAGGAGATAGTGCAGTGTTTTATTTTCTCCATGTCGATCTCCTTTGAAAATGCTATGCTGCCATCCTGAAAGATAGGGGAGGCCCACATTGATTGAGCAATTACCTATTCGGGTCTTTATTAGATGGTTAGAAACATGAATCTTATTTACATCTCAACACAACTTCTCAAAGAAAATATTATGATGATTTTATAGATTTGAAAACTGAGTCTTAAAGTGAGGCTATATGACTTTCCTATGGCCACACAACAATGTGTCAGACCCCAAGTACAGCATTCTTTTCACATTGACATAATACCTTTCTTTTCAATCCTGCAGACATTAGGCTTATCCCTTGCTGAGAATCCCAGTCTGATTTATGACAAAAATAGAAAAAATTTATGTGAAGTCCCCAATAGCTCCATATTTATTTTTATTTTAGCTCCCTAATATACCAAATCTCAATTCCTGTTGGCTTATCCCTAGGTCCAATAAACTTCTGCTTCAAATTCATTATATCCAATCAATTGGTTTGCTTGTTGACCAAGTTTTCACAATGTATAAAATGGAAAAAAATTGTCAAGTACTTGTTTTAAGCTAATGTAACTCAAACAATTGCCCTGAGTGTTTCATAATTGATATTGACTACTTAATACCATCCTGAAATTTTAATTTGTACATTTCAGATTAGAAGCAAACACAGAGTACACAGAAATGATTCAAGTTGAACCTAAAGAATTTCACTCAATAAAAGAAAAATTCTAGAATTATAAATTAGCAAAAGGAAAGTGTCTTTTAAAGGTCAACAATTAGTCAGGAAAGTTCAAATTGAATAAATATTGATCATCAACATGCTAAAGATTCCAATATATACAGAAAGACTAATGTTTACAGAAAATAAGTAAAGTGAGTAGATATTTATTAGAAATAAAATGAATTCTAGACATTAGCTAATTATTTTCTCCTTTGAAAGGTTTAGTGACTGGAATTAGAAAAAAGAGGGACTTCTCGGGTATCAGTGATCTCAGTATTGGTTACATGATGATGCTCAGTTTGTGTATTTTCTGTTTGTCTATTACAGTTCAGTAAATATTTCTAAGAAATGACATTGAACGGTGAGGGCTAAAACCACCCCGAATGGTTTTTAAACGATGATTTCTGCATCTTTGCATTATAGCTTTTTTTAAATGACAATGGTCATGAGAAGAGCTTAGGCAGAGTAGGTATCTATTCTTTTTCAAAAGAAAAAGACAAAGGAAAATTTCTTAAAACCATTTCACTAATGAAAAAAGAAAGACAAAGTCTTTTCAGTCCTCGTATTCCAGAAGTACTTGACCTGGGATACGAAGGGGTGATCTAAAATCCACGTACACAACAGGCCCCCAGTTAAGTCTCCTTTATTCTATACACATGTGCATGTAGACACAAACACACACACAGCCATTCCAAACCATGTAAACCATCTCTGAAAATAAGTCTCTGTCCTACAAAGAGCCACTATTGCGGACTCATAGACATATTTCTAAGGGTTAACTGTAGGATAATATCAGTAGCATCATAGCTGAGAAGCCAAAAGTGGGTTGTAAGATTATTGCTGATTCATAAAATCCTTATCTTTAAAATTGGCTATTTGAATCCCCTATTCCATTTAATGCCTATGAAAAATAATTTAAGAATTGCACACTTAACTTCCACAGAAGCTAATAGTTCTCAAACTTTAGAATTCATAAGGGTCACCTGGAACATTTGCTAAAATCATGTACTCTTAAACTTTATGCCGGAGACTCTGATTCAGTAGATTTTTAGGGACAGCCCCAGGAACCTATGCTTTCCACCAGCCTGCCAGGTGCTTCCGAAACAGAGTCAGCACACCGCACCTTGAGAAACACGGCGACTATGAGAGCCTCCACTGTTCACAAGTTCCAGGCAAGCTCGGCAGGACGTTCCAAGAGATCACAATCCAGGCCGTGCGCACGGGCCTGAATAACCAGTCGGTGTTCATCCTGGAAACCTAAGGATCGGTGAATTAAGGCCGTGCTAGAATACAGCAGGGGGAAGGGCACCGCGGGACAGGTGACTTCACCGTGGACGCCGGTGAGCTTTCACAGGTGTGCCCTGGCTGACGTTTTATACATTGGTTAACCTCGGCCAGTGCTTTCGCAGACCTTCATCTTGTGAGACGCAAAGGCTGATGTGAGGACGAGGGCACAAGTCGCCCTGACCCACAGTTGGCTAAGGCCTAACAAAGACGCTGGCTAACTCGCAGGCAAACCTTCTATTCTGAGACCAGCGCCATCCATGGAAGTTGTGACTCAACCTGTGACAAGGAGCGTACAAACATTACATCTGGACTGTCATGGGCTGTCACTCACAGGGTGGCTTACTAATTTTTCCAAAACCCAGAACCTCATGGTGCCAGAAGCAGCAGCTACCTTGTTTACCCTCTTCATTGGGCAATCTTTCTCTGCATTATCGTTTTGATCATTAATGTGCTTGCGTTGACAAGAGCCAAAGAAAATTCAAATGCAACCCAGAAACAACAGGAATGTGTCATCCTGAAACAGACGTGTGAGCCGCTCAACCAGGCACCTGCTTCTCGTGATGACTAATGCCAGATGTGTCAGGGAAGCGTACAGCCTCTCTTGCACATCTGCTTCGAGCAATTGTGCAATGATCCATCACGAGGGACTTTTCTTTCTCTGACCCTGAGTTAGCCATCAGTTGTTAGTCATCAGTTGTAGCCTAATATTTCAAGACATCAGCCCTTGAACTCATTACCCTTTCATCCTTTCCTGCACTCTCTCTTCAAAAACACAACATAAAGAAATTAGTATTTGTCCAGTATGTTCCCTTGTCAACTCTGGACCAAAGCAATTATACTTGTAGACAACTGTATCTACTTTCCATTAAGAAGATGGCTGGATATTTGACATGAGGGCAATATTTGTTGGTTACAGTAGGTAAGTGAGAAATAGCTCACATCTGCAAATAGCTTGGAAACAAAAATCACTACACTAGTGATGCTGAAAGTTGGCATTAGGAGGCTTTCAGAATCTGTATGGCTAACTGAACATAATTCAGGTAAAACTACAAATAACTAGCAGTAATTACAAGGATTATAAATACTAACAATTTCTCCTTAATTATATACACCTGAAAAAATTCAATAAGCAAGAAGCGTAACTATGTTTACTCAATTGCTCAACAGATATTTATAGAGTATCTTCTCAGTGCCATTCACTGTTAAGTACTAGGGAAAGTCAAGGGTTTTACCCTTACACAGTCCAAGAGGGGAAATGGACAATGGTTAGGATACAAATAGATAATATAACAACAGATTGAAATATAAGTTCTGAAGGAAATTAGCATGGTTATGATAGAGAAAAACTGGAGGAACCTACTTAGAGTGGTCAGGTTTATTTTCTCCTAGAAGTGACCTTTAAACTGAGACAAAGGTTAAGAAAACTAAGATCATGCCCTGAGTAGAGGAAATAATGAGGCAAGTCTTACTGGTGTGTTTTAGGAACGGAAAGGAAATCAGGTGCCTGGGAACAGGTGAGAATCAGATCTTGGAGGACATTGTATGTTATTGTAAAGAGTTTGGGTTTTATTTTAAGTGAGATGGAAGCCACTAAAGCACTTAGAGTGAAAAAATGATATGAGCATACATTTTTTAAAAACTTTTGAAAAGTAAACTTTTTATTTTAGATAGTTTAGATTTATAACAGACAGTTCAGGAAGTTCTCCTATACCCCACACCCAGCTCCTCCTATTACTAATATCTTACGTTAACATGGTACATTTGTCACAATGAACCAATACTGATACTTTGATTAGCTAAAGTCCATACTTTATTCAGATTTGCTCAGTTTTTACCTAAAGTCCTTATTCTGTTCCTGAATCCCATCCAGGATATACATTACATGTATTAGTTATCATGTCTCCTTAGGGCAACTCTTGGTTGTTTCTCAGGTTTTCTTTGTTTTTTGTTTTGTTTTTTGTTTTTTAATTTATCTTTATTGTTGAAAGTATTACAGATGTCCCCCTTTCCCTCCCATTGACCCCCTCCACTCCCCCACCCCACCCCCAGGCCTTCACCACACTATTGTCTGTGTTCATGGATTATGCATTTGTAAAAAATCACACTGAATGTAAAGGGAGAATGCAGTGAAGGAGGCAAAGAAAGTGTGGGAGCTCTGTCATCACAGGGATCTTCTACTTTAAAGTGCACACAAATATCTGGGGATCTTGTTAAAATGCGGATTCTAATTCTCCAAGTCCAGGGCAGGGGAGAGATTCTGCATTTCTAGCAAGCTCCCCGGTGATGCCGATGCTGTGGTCCCCGGACCACACTGGGGATAGCAATATATGAGAATACTCTTACAGTGGTCCAGGCTTTTGCCTGTTGCAAGATGGTGCCTTGAGCTAGGATGAAAAAGGTGCTGATAAAGGAAATTCAGGTTCAAAATATATTTGGGACTTAGAACAAACAGATTCTCTGTAGTATGCCTCTTAACA